AAAAAAAAAAAAAAAAGACACAAAACCACCACAGCAACAAATGACTTTCCTCTTCAATACAGGAATGACATTTAAGTTACCTGGTATTACCCATGGCTGGCTTGGTGATCAGCATACTCACGCGTAAGCACTTGGGCACATTCAAGTTATACTGCAACCCAGAGCACAATCCCACCCCATCCTAATATTTTAAGGGCAGTGCATTGTGCGTGCGTGTTGGGGAGGTTGTTAGCAGGTGTTGGTCACCGCTGACCCTGTCCCTACATGGCGGTGGGAGCGGTCCTGGGTGCGCACTGTCCAGCTGTACTGCCCCAGGGCTGGCTTTATAAATGTCCTATCGCCCAGCGGGCATCAGCACGGCTGAGGAGACTGTCCTCCTATGGAGCAACTTTGACCACAATCACAGGAGAAGCTGGGAAACAGGCTGTAGTCCAGGCTTGCCGTTCCTTGACACCCTGTCCAGGACAGAAGGTGACACAGGAAGGCGCAGGAGCCAGGAGTCTGTTCTCAATAGAAGTCCCCATCCCAGGCATCCTGTGTCGCATTAGATGGCAAATGCTATCCGTACACCACCCTGTACACCTCCTCAGTCCTCCCACCACCCTCACCTGGAAACCAAGGAACAAGAAAGTCAGGAGGGAGACACAGCCAGCCCACCGAAGTGCAGGAGCCGTCACAGCAATGCGGAAGGCTGGTCAAGAGCCTGCTGACCGATAGGGTCCCGACTACTTGGGAATTTAACACAAATATCAAAGACCTGAAACATGTGACAAGTCCGAGGCAGCACCGCAGGCTTACTAAAGTCCAGGGAGGTTTCAGGGTGGCTTCGGCAGCTAAGGAGGGGCGAGCAGGGGCAGGGACATCTTCTCTAGTCCAGACTGAAAGGGAAAGGGCTGCAGGGAAGAAAGGTCAGAGAAATGGAACTTCTCCCACCAACACAAATTCCAGGTCTCAGTCGAGCAAGTGTTAGCAAACCTCCTGCTCCCACACAACATCTGGCCAGTGCCTATTCAGAAAAACGAAGCCTCTTCCAGCGGTAACACACAATTCTCATCTTAAATAGTCCCACAAAAGTAAAGAGGTGGTGATACTGAATTTCAGGGATTTAAAGAACTATCTCCTTAACCACTCCAATAGGCCTCCTACGCTATTCTATTTTTTGTCAGAGTATCTTATCACCACTTGAAATGTAAATATTGATTTAGTTATTGATTTTCCACCACCTCCAACCAATCAAATGCACTCACACACACAGCATGCGTGAAAGTAATTATCCCATGTTTTATCAACCACAATGAACACACTACTGCTGGTAAACTGTGCTTTAATTTCTGCAATCAGATATGATGCAGTGAGATACAAGTATAAACTTTCATTGTACATCCAGAAAATAAAAAGCACATTTATACAGATTGAGCCCAACAGCTTATTCCCTTTAAAAAAAAAAGTTTTACATGTAATTAAAGATAATTTGTCTTCAGTGTAAAAACTTGGAGGTATAAACAAACTCAAAATATCATACACAGTAAATTAATGTACATTTCCAAATGTGCACAGTGCAGCATTTAAACAAAGCAAATGGTCTCATTTCCGCTTTAACTGTTAAGCATAACGCACATTTGAATAAGAACATCACAATATACAAACCCACTGAGAGTGCCGTACACAAATACAAGTTTATAGAAATCTGATTCCAAATATAAATACACCAATTAACATGACTGTCCATGTTATAACAGCTTATTTTTCTACTGTAATTTTTTTTAAGTCATAGAAAAATATTTCAATGCACATTCAACTGCTGTGACAGGGCCATGACCTTGTGCCTTTAAACCACACATTGTGAAGTATAAAGCATCACACTGGGCATTTCTGGAATGAAAATTACTAAGATCCTAAGACTGAAGAGGCCACTGTATAAATATTCATGTTATAATATGGTAACAAAAATAGTTAGCTCCATAGTGTATTTGGGAGGCAATTGGGGCAGAGAGGTGGAGGTTAGTGCTAGTTTAAGAAGGCCCATGGAGCACATGTGAGGGTAGCTAATGAACTAGTGTATTTCTAAAATCCCTACTGAAAGCCTAACACTGACCTCCCTAGTAAGACCCTTAAGGCAACCGAGACTGGACCTGTGCTTGTCCCCCAATCCTGCCCTCCCCTCAACCTCTGGTTGTCTTAACAGATGACCTGGTCACGTGTCAATATGCAGTTGGGGAACAAAAGGCAAAGCAGTCTCCAGTAAGTACAAAAGACAATTCAGTGCAAACTGAGAAACTCGTCGTCAATAGTTTCAACATTTCTTATTGCCCTGGAGCAACTGAAAGTTTTTCTAAACATGTACTATTTAAATTGGGACCTATACTGGAGAGAAAATGTATATAAAAGGCAAACATTCCATTTGAAACATTCTAACATGAGGTTTTTTCCCTCCCCCTTCCTTTAGTGGGATGTAACAGGGTTCCATTGAAAATGAAAAAACTGGTCCTTACAAAGTGTACGTTCCTGTATTTAAAAATACAGATCATTTAGACAGCAGATGCAAGAAGTTTACCAGACACAGTTGCATTTCTTCTATGGCTTTTTAAATCACTGAGGTACTATATGACAGCCATCACTTCTGATAGGCTTAACTGCTTCCCTATGAAAGCCACGTTCAAAAGTGACCCTCAACAGTCTGTCAGGTGACAGCGAAGGTGGGGAAACCATCTGAGGGGCTGCTGCAGGGGACCATGGTCACGAATGCTCTGAGGTCTCGGCCTGCTACTAGAAAAAGGCAAAGCAATTACTTGCAAACCCTGAGAGCCACCAGAAGAATGGAAGCTCCTCTGGGCAGACCAAAGAGAGTCCCCCAGTTTAACCACCAGGTTTAGCAGCAAGACCCTGGGACCACGTGAACCAAAGGTGGGCAGCAGGGAGGGACAGCAGCGAATGGTATGGAGTAGGCAGAGACCTGGAGGCATCAGCACACGAAAAAAGGTGGCATGGTTGACTGGCCCAGCACCTGCACACAAAGTGACACGATCATTGCAGGAGGCAGGATGGTCTGAAACGCCAGGATGGGTGACATGGGTGGGGTTTCTCCAGCTTTTCTACAGGCAAGAGGATGCAGGAAGGAAAAGTGCTGCGGTTTAATGAATGCCACACATCTCAACACCTCTGAATCCTTCCATTCGCCATACACACATCACATATAGCTGAGCCTGCTCCGAACTGAGATTGGTTAGAGACACTGACTTCCCAGTGACTGGAAAAATTCTCTTGGCACCGAAAAGATTTGAAGAAAGACTCAAGTCCAAGAATATCTTATCAAAGCCCTTTTTAGTAGTAAACCAGCTACTGCAGATTCTGTGTAATACTTATGCGTCAGATAACAGCTGCAATTCTGTGATGAGTCAAGTAGTAATTCCTTTCACTTAATAATACTAGAGATAGGGTTTTAATTGCATAGTCTTTCAGGACCAGGAAGAAAAGAGAACCAGCTCTTTTACTGAAGGCGCAGTTTCCCCTTACAGAGCTCTGGGCTGATGGCCCTCCCTCGCAGCAGTGGGCTTCAGCATGTCACACCAGTCCAGAGGTCAGTGCGTCCATGTGTTGGACTCCTCTCCCAGTCTTCAAGATTCCTCTTTTGCAATCACTGAATAGACAGCTCACACATCCCCTAGATCCACAAACTCATCTTCTCGTTTGGCCAGATCTTCTTCATCTTCCAAAGCTTTCCAACCACTGGTGGGCAAGACAGGCTTAGAGGAATGTCGCTGAAGCAAAGCAAAAGGAAACAGCGAGGACAGGCGGGCAGAGTTCCTCAGCAGGGAGGGGGCCTCTGCCTGGAGGGCCTCCCGGTGGAGTCTCCTCTCATTAATTTTCTCTTGTAAACTCTGTACTTCCTCCATCATTTCCAAGAGTTTGTTCATGGTGGCCACTGTGCCACCACCCAGAATCTGGGCTTCTGGAATCCAACGCAGGTAGCGCTGGGCCCAGACTCTGATCTCTGGCCCCTCGATGTGAGGCAACAACAGCCCATGGTAGTCAGTGGGCTTGCTATGCCAGCTGTCGTAGAACTCTCGAAAGTTGTCTTGCAGCTCATCAGAAGAATTAATTAGTTTGCTAATTCTCTTGCCCAGAAGGTTTTTAATTAAATGATCTGTTTCTTCCCTGAAAAATCCTCTTTTGGGAGATGACTTAGATTGGGTGAGTGGCAAAGAAAGCTGTCGTTGATGCTTTGAGAGAAAACACAAATAAAAGCCTCTGGTTAGCCTGACAGCACAGGTCTCTTCCCAGTGTGAATGTTCACTGCCCGGTGTTTATGCACAAATGACTGACTCCTGGCCCATCTGGAGCAGTGGAGAAAGGCAGCTGTGAGGCCAAGGGAAGATGCCACCCCTCTCCCACTGTCATGGGGCACAAAGGGCACTAAGCACTTGTGAAGAGCAAGTTTAACTTAAGACAGGGTGATGGTTTAGGGTGTTTGGAGGCGGTGTCTGTTCATTTTCTGAAGGAACAAAATGTTTGATCTTCTACAATATTCTAAACACCTGGGAGGAAGCAGTGCTGACTACCTGAGGATCCTACCCCTTCAATGAAACCCCTCTGTAGGTTAGGTGTCCAGGAGGAGTTGAAGCTTAAGTCAGAAAGATTCTTGCCCAGCTGGGCGTGGCTCAGCGGTTGAGCATCGACCTAGGATCAAGGAGATCGCAGTTCGATTCCCGGTCAGGACACATGCCCAGGGTTGCAGGCTCGATCCCCAGTCGGGGGCCTGCAGAAGACAGCTGATCAATGACGACTCATCATTGATGTTTCTATCTCTCTCTCTCTCTCTCTCTCTCTCTCCATCTCCTTTCCTCTTTCTGAAATCAATAAAGATATGTGAAAAAAAAAAAGATTATTTTGGATGAGTCAGGTGGGGGTAAAAGAAATCTGAGGAGCTGACTGAACAGCCAGATGTCCTGTCTGACAAGCTGCATGGAGGAGGAAAGGTGAGAGCGTTTACATGCTTTTCCTCCTTGGTAATTCTACCTGCAGCCAGAGTAAGCTGCTTTATCTTGCGGTGTACTGTAAAAGGGCTGTGAAGGTGGGCATTGGTCAGAAGGTTACAGGGGATCTCCAGTGGCCAAAGGAGAAGGTAAAAAATGTGGGGAAGTGGTTTTCCTGACTCTCTTGCTCCTGAGGTATCCTTTTGAAGTAAGAACAGACAAAAACTTTATTCTCAGGCTAGACTTATAACAACTCTCTAACATATTTCTGCCAGTGGTTCTTCCTTGTAAAAAAGTTTTATTATAAAGGAAATATTTCCTTACTACAGAATATGGAATAATGATAAAAACATAAGAAGCAAGCAAACCATCCACAAACTCTAACTCAAGAGATGACTAGGAGTTTTGACTTTCTGGCTGGGGACAGGGGAGCCAAAGGCCAGGAGCCAGCAGCTGGCCTCTCTTCCCCCCAGTGATCCAGGTGAGTCAGAATGGGCCAGGGAATGAGGAATGCAGGTGGAACCTAACAGCCACTGAGTGTTTACTGCCACCAGGTTCTGTGCTCAGTGCTTAGTATGCATCAACTTATCCAATTCGCAAAGCCACTACTGCCCCACCTTACAAATGAGGAAACTAAGGCACAGAACTTTAGTAATCCACCAAGGCCCCAGCTACCAGATGCCAAAGGTGGTTTCACTCACAGACAGTCTGGCTCCAGAGTGTGGGCTCCTAACAGAACTCTACTTGTCTTGGAAGCCCCTTCTCCCCATCCCCTAAGTGAACAGAGTGTTCACTTAGATGAGCCAGTGGAGACAGCACCACATGCCTGGAGCCTGGCCAAGGGCTGAGGCTGAGGTCGAGATCACACGCTGAGCAGACCCTACGGCCTCCAGGACTCATTTACAGAGCAGCGCTTCATGCCAGTCAGCCACAGCCTCTTCAGTCTCTACAGAACTTCTCGAAGGCCGTCTGCCCTCAACAAGGGGCCCCAAGCCTGATATCTGGTGTCCTAACCTAAAGGCTTCAAAGATCCTTGTTGCCCCAGCCCCATCTATACCTTATCTAGTACAATATGAGATAGTCTGACCCTTTGGTTCAAATCTCTCCCACCCATCAGCTCCTGGAGCCTAGGCTATCTGCTCCTACCTACAAGGAGAAGGGACACTTAGAAAAACTGGATCTGGACATAGAAATGCAATCCATTCTTACAAGGCAGAGCCTTAGTTTCCTCCTGTGCAAAATAAGGGGTTGGGCCTTGCCCTGTCTGAGATCACTTTCCCACTGGCCTGGGGCAGCTCTGTGATCCTAACCCAGCTATCAGAGAAGTGTGCATGCAGCCATCAGGGGGCATAGCACACGAAGAAACACTGACCTCTGGCCACGCTGTTCTGGAGCTCAGGGAGTTCTGGTCCAGCTGGCAGGAAAGAGGTTAAATCAGTGGGGGAGCATCTCCCCTGGGCCTTAAGACCCTCCAAAGAGCCAAAGCAACAGCTCTAAGTAGTTCGGCAGCTGGCACCCTCTGCAAGTACTGCCTTTGGCTCACCTGGGGCCCCAAGCCTCTTCAGAATGGAGCCCCCTCCCACACCAGAGCCAGCCTGGCTCCCTGCAGCCCTCAAGGGCAGGAGGGATCAGAAGTACCGCCGTGGAGAAGGTAGGGACAAGCACTGACTTGGGATTTGTTGACTGCTCTCCCCTTTGTGGGGTCTGTGGGGGAGAAATTCCTGGCCAGGAGAGACAGGCAGGAAATGCAATGTAAATCGTGTATCATCTAGGGGACTATGGGGTTTTACTAACTAGTGAAGTCAGAAACAAATAATTAAGCAAACCCAAATAACTTGACATTTGTAGTTTACAGAACCTGTTTTCATAAATACTGGAGCACGGCCATGCCCATTTGTTCACAAGCTGCCTGCCGCTGCTTTTGCGCCTTGACAACAGAGCGAGTGTTGTGCCAGGTACGAGCAGGGGCCATGACAAAACATGGTAGGTGCATCTATAAAGAAAGTCTTGCTACTGAAGACACGAACTGGTACAGAGTAAAGCCCATGCACTCAGGGAAGACCCAGATGCCAGGCAATATGACCATTTCACAGCAGGATTCCCAGTGACATTCAGCAAATGGCCATGTTTTGGGGGCAAAGGCCTACTTGCTGAAAGCAAAGGATTCTCACGGACTGGACAGTTCTCCCACCACAAATCTCAGCTCGGCAGACCGTCTCCAGCATCCATAGGTAGCGTGCATCCCTCCACATGGGGCCCCTGGGCAGGTGAAGGATTAGGCATGTGGGCATCTTACTTTGAAACGCGTTCCTTTCCGCTGGCCTTTGTCCAGTTTTGGTTTTTCCACGTACAGAGGGTTTTGGAGCAATATCTGGGCTCTGGATTCAAACTGTACAGACCAATCCCACACGGTGAGCAGACTCAAAGGCTTGCTGTGTGCATCCTGGTTTTCCCTACCCTGCCAAAGCAAGCAGAGGTCAGGAAGGCTGCAGGGAGCGCCAAGGAAAGCAAACACAACTCAGGGAGGGCCAGCACCGGGGAGGGCGCCTGCGCTGCCCTGAGACCGAGCATTCCCGGCACTCCACTTTTCAAGGCTGTTCACTAAGGCTTGAGAGGGAGGAGGGAGAGAAGAGGACATGCTATTTTCCAACAGGATGTACGCCAGCCACTGTCCTGGGCACTTTCACAATAACCTGTGGAGTCACTATTATTTTTGCAGTTTTACATCTGAGGAAACTGAAGTGAACTGTCTGAGGTCACGAAGCTGGTGGGTGGCAGGGCTGGGACCTGAAACTCAGGCTGTGTGACTGGGAGCCCAGGGTCTGTGTTTCCCACTTCACCGTGGGATGTGGCAAAACCCCTCCTCAAGGGCCGGCTCAAGCAAACACTGAGGCCCGCAGAAGGCTGGGCAGCGCACTGAGGTTGCTTAGAGTTAATCCCCCAGGAGCACCGACTCAAGAGGCTAAGGAAGCACAAGGCTAGCTTCCCTGCTCTGCCTTGTCTCCATTCTCTCCAGAGTAACTCCACACATCAGGCAAGTGAAGAGAGGGCATCTGGTCTGACCATCTTCACATAGGACTTTTAATTCTGTTTAATTCCCCAACTCCAACATTTGCTCCCAGCTCCGATATTTACTGTGTGACTGAGGGCAAGTTACTTATCCTCTCTGTGCCTCAGCTCCTCAGGGACACTACTACTAGAGATCCGTGGGGTGCTGTGCAGATTAGGTGTCAATACCCAGAAAGCACTCAGAACAGGGCCTCGTACATTCTCAGTGTTAAATCACTTTCATTTATTATCATCAATCTTACTGCATGCTACTTGTGAGACACAGCTTCTCCAATACACCAGCTAAGAGGAACTCGTACCATGTTAGTTTCTTTCTGATGTGGCGAGTTGAAGAAGAAGGTGCTGAAAACGGGTATGTACAGGCTGTCAGACAGAACAGTCAGGTAGGTCTCCGTGAACTCAAATGCTGGGGGATGCTGGTGCACCAGCTGCCAGACACAGTCAAGGAAAAGCAGGAACACAGGAACCTACATGAAAACAAGATACACATTACTGAGTGGCACTACGGGTCCAAGGCCAGCTGAGTTAAGGGGGCAACTATCTCAACGGCTGTGGAATTACCATTGCTGAGCACTATAGTCTTTGGACAGAACAGCAGGCTCCATTCCACTCCAAGCAATAAATATGCTCAGCTGAAATCACATGCTCATGCTTGCGGATTAATATCAATATTTGGCAGTACCTACTTGTGTGACATTTCAAAGGTGAACTATGAAATCTCACTATTGAGCAGCATTAACAGATGAGCATTTGCAGTGATTTTGATGATAGGAAACACTAACTTTGAATCCCAATTAAGTGAAATGTTACTTCCCCCAAAAGAATTCCATCCTTCTTAGTTGATTTTATTACAAAATCAGGTGGGTAAGACAGTCCATGTTATAGCCTTTCCCTCACAGAGGCTGGCCAAAGTCTCACGCACAGCTCACTAGAGACACAAAGTCCAGTGCTGTGTCATTTATATCATAAACAGACCACCCAGTTTTCCTTCAAAGCTCTAATATGTCACTGTTGAGGTGCTAAGAAACATTTGTAGTGCAGTTTTATTTCACACCTCATTTTATGCTCAATACCATTAAATAGAGTGAAAGTATCTGACCCTCTGTGTAGTCAGGGAGATAGGATCAGGAAGCATGGGAGACTTCTCCAAGGACTGCGTGAACAGCAGAGCAGAAAACCTCTCGGACGTTTTCTCCATTAGACATGGCGCCTGTCAATCCTATTTTCTCAGATATAAAAACATACTCTTTCCCACACAGTATCAGCTCTCTCCGCCCATCACATTACTTAAGTCCCATAAGCTTTCAAATTAATTTCCCAGAAAGGCAAAGTCCATTCCAAAAATGAGAGATGGTGATTTCCATTCAGCCCAATGAGATACAGATCAGGCCTGAAAGAAACCCCCCGGCCTAGCAAGAGAGGCCTGGGTCTCCCAGGAACACACCAAGGCCAAGCTGTTCAGCACTGCACACAGATGTGCTTATTATCTGGAATGAGAAAAACCATGAGTCGTGCTACTAGCATATGGCAGCTCTGCAGGCGATTTAATTAAAGAAAGGCCCATTTTCATTTCTCTTTCCACAATTGTTAATAATTCAGCCAAGGAGTCTATACAGCTGAGCAAGATAAATAGAACGAACCGAATTGTAACCACTCCTGTGCTCACACTCAGAGACCAGCAATTCACACAGCCAGAGGCAGAAGAGGCCATGTGCACCACTCGTGGACACACCACGAAGTCCCTGGTACTGGGTGCAGCTAAAGTCACCTTCTGCTTTACTTTGAAAAGGTTTATGTGCAAGGGAAATTTATTTCCTGTTATGTATTTTCCGTACCGAGCATTCGTTTTTTTTGCAAAGACTAACAGAGATTATAGGAGTCTCTCTTACTGAGTTAATTTTTATTTAAAGTTGACAAATCAGTATTACTCCCAACATGAAATATATATACACCCTGGGTGCACACAGTTTAGAAAAGAACACTCTGAACACACTTGTTAATACCTCTTTCCTCTGGGAAGGGTTTCAATGTTGTTTCATCATTCAAAGTCCTCAAATGGTGAGCTGAGTATAGCCTCCTTACTGAGCTGTCCAGTGTGCATTTTGCAAACAGTAACTACCTACCTCAGAAGACAGGAATTAAGAGATCGGGCACTTATCCTCACGACTGAAACAGTCTGCCATGAGGACACTCACCTCTTCCTTGTCACTCTGACGCAGATGGTTGCAGCGATCCAGGAAGCAGTGCCCGCCCATGACCCACTCCTTCTGGATGAGGCTCTGGAAACCAGCCCTGGTTCTACAGTGTGGGTCCATCATCACTTGCACCAGAGAGGACATGAGACAGCAGAGGTCGGAAGCGTTCTCTTCTAGGAGGGGCCGCAGGAGCAGTGCAAAGAGGAAGCAGGGTATGAAGCGTTAAAAACCGACAAAGAACACTCACACTCGCACAGTGATAGCATGGTCCCAACACCAAGGTCTGCCATTCACAGTCAAGCCCTAATTCCCCAAAAACAAGGGCCAACAAAACAAAGGTACTAAGAGACAAATGGCTTCTGGCCTGCACGGCAGGGTTCCAGCACACATGGCACCAAACATTGGATGTGCTTATTGAATGAGCAAACGCAGCACTGCAAATCCACTGTCAGCATATGGGCCTCCAGATGTGCCACACATACAATGATGACCTGCTGGGATCCATGGACCAAGCTCAAAACCCTTCGGGCTAGTGTGTCAAGTCTCTATCACTGAACTCACTGTTCCAAGCTCAGATGCTTTTCAGACCCACCTCAGAGCTCCTTTCCTCCGCTCCCAATTCCTCCACTCTTCCTGCCTGGAGAAAGTTGACTATTTCTAGACTGCACCTGAGAGCTCCTATTCTCAGCTCCACAGCTCTTTCCCTTTCTAAGGAGCAGAGGGGCCAGCTGCTCCTTGCCTGGCCTAGAGGAGAAGCCCTCCACGGCCTATTTCCACAGGCCCGCCCAGCCCTGAAGTGCACTGTATAAAACCCATATGATGACAATTCCATTCAAATACCTGTTCAACATTCATGACTCATAGCAAATAAAAACATATATCTAAATCCATGCATTTGTTTTAGAGAGTTTTAGGACCCCAAAAGTCAGCGTCTAACATCTTCAGGGTTCCCTCTTTACAAAAAGAAGTGCAATTCAAGTTGTTATTTTAAAATGTCCATGAGGATGATAGTGCTGGTATGAGGGGCTAGGGAAACTAAGAATAGACTATAAGTAGGAAGGTGTCTACACTGCGCAAACTCTCACTCTGACCCCAGGACATGGAGTGCCACAGGGCCAGGCTTTCACTCGTGCTTCTCTCTCTCCTCCAGGAAATAGGCCTAAACTACGTGAACAGAAAGAGATTTTCATTTTTGTCTTTCTCGTGCTATCTATTTTCTAAGCAAGTTCACCTATGTCGGGACTCTGCCTTTCTGCATCTGAGGGGTGTTGATAGAACACCCATGGGTACTAGGAAGAGGGGCTAGAAAATGAGATTCCAGATTAGAGACAATTCAGAAGTCCATAGGAGCAAGTGACATCTCAGCCACATGAGCCAAAGATTTGCATTTCATTTTCTGCAACTCTGTGATCAGTGCATTCTGGCCCTGGGACTTCCACCTCTTTGACTCCCCATCTTTACCCCTCCTCCTTTCACCAGTTAGTACTCTATTCTGTCATTGTTGGTTAGGTCTTTTTCAGTAACATGCTTAGGTCAACTCTCCCAATTAGGTTGTAAACTTCTAGAAGGCAGAAATACAGAGCTCTGCACATGGTAGGTGCTCAATAAATGTATTAAAATCTAAGCCAATAAACCAGCATCCGATAGTACAGGAGCCACAGGCAGCTACTTTTTCCAACCTGCCCATAAAAGCTAAATCTCAGCAGACATGGAGCGTGTCAGAGAAATATAAAAGCTTGGAGGTAGGAAAGCATGAGACGATCTACTTAATTTGCAATGTAGGCCTATAAGAAACCTAAAATATTCTCAACAGCAGGCCTAACCAATTCCAGCAATATCTTTGTTGCATGGCAGCTTACACTTCCTTTCATGCATTGTGAATGTTTATGTCCTGTCCTCACATACAGCAGGTTAAGCCCACTGAGGAAAAGGAAATCCCAGACCACAAAGTTTCTATGGCAACTGCATGACGTTGTCAAACACAAACACATGAAAATAACAAACCATCCACGGATCTCTTTCTATAAAAGGGATTACCCAAAGATTATACCTTTAACCAAGTTGAGTTAACATAAAACAAAATCCCAAACATTAGAAAATGTGAGCTTTGATAAAGAGAGCTAGCAATTCCTTCTTGGGCTGCGAACAGACCTGCCAAGTTCCAAGTGAAAGAATGTATTTTTAAACTGTAACACTGAAATCCAACTCAAAGAATTCCACGGTCAGGGTAGGAGAGACTGGAAGGACTTCCACACTAGCTCATTCCTGTACAGGATAATTCAAATCATACAGGGCTGTATCTACAGAACTAAGTCCAGTGAAGGAAAATGGAAGCCACACCTCGTACCTAAAAGTAGAACGTTCATGTTTTGCGCTTCTAGACATTCTACAATCTCTATTGCTTTTTTCAGGCAGCGTCTACATGGAAAAGACAAAAAAAGGGGCATTAGTTCTTGAGCCTGGTATGGAAACAATAAGAAATTTAGAGAAAGTCTGACTTGATCTTTAATTTTCTATCTTATTTATTTTTGCTAAAACCCTCCAAAAGAAACAAGTTAACATTTACACTATTCAGATACTGCAAGACACTCTTCTGCCTATTAGAAACTTAACATTTTCAAAAGGGTATCCCCAAATTGATGTAAATGCTTCCAGGTGATTTCTAAACTGGAAATCCTCAGTGAGAACTCAGACTGGAGTCTGTTGGTGGGTCCAAGTGAGACCCACCAAGGCCCACATCTGGAGAGTGTGCTGCATGTCCATACTGTTTAACCCAAGGTCACCTGCCAAACGGTCAGTGTGGCCAAAAAGATCCAATGCGCCCAGAAGTCCTTTGTGTGTCTCTCTACGCACTATTCCCTCTGAGACGTTGCCGCCCGCTCTTGGCGGCTTTGACTCTACTTATAACCAGGGCTTTGCGTAAGCTGCTCTCTGCCTGCGGCGATGCCTCCCCGCCCCGACTCTTCAGCTGGTTGAGGACACTCAGCCTTCTCTGCCCCACAAAAAGAAAGATTCTTTTGTGACACTTATCACTGTTTGCAATAACATACAAATTATGAGACACGCAGCAGGCTCTTTAAAACATATTTGCTGGTAAGTGTGGAGGGCCAAGGCTCCTCCCCCATACGCACGGCATAGCTGAGAGAAAGCCGTGCTAGGTACAAAGGGGAGTTCTTCTCTTTCCTCAGGTTCATCTCAGGATCCGAGCTATTCTCTCTCCCCGATCATCATTTCTGTTCTGTGCCTCCCTCCTTCACCCTCAGCTCTATTTAATGGCAACAGAGAGGAGCTATTCAAAATATGAAGTACGAAAGGGAATATACTTCTGTTCTCTGGGAATCTCAACCTAATTCTAAAACCCAAAATGACAAACTGACATTAATAGTGATTAAAAAAATTTTTTAAATAGGTAATATACATATAAGACACACAATTCTTCTAAAAAGAAGTTTAGTACAAAATCAGCATAGCAACCCTCCCCTGCTCCACCCTACCTCCCCCCTGGAGGCCAGCACTGGCTGCCTCAGCAGAATTCTGGGTTGCCTCACCCCGTGTCGTTTCTCTCAATTACCAGTCTACAGTTAGAGTAGATCTCCTGGTGAGCAGGTCACATGTCTGTAAATTCTGATCCAATGTGCACAGACATAATAAGTAACAAATGTAAAATCGTGAGCGTTGACTAGAACATGTGATCTAAGAATATTTAACTGTGAAATATAAAACACTTAAATTATTTGCCAATTTGCTTTACTACTTTCAATGAGAACTATAAAATTCACGAGCAAAACAATGACTTCAAATACCTAATTATGTCAAGCCAGCTGCTACTTTCCAACAGAGAAAACCATTTTATATCTGTGTCCCAAAATTCGGTACTGTTATCTGAAGAAGAAGAAAAAAACAAAAAAAAAGAAAGTCAAGAAGTCAGGTGGTTCACTCACATGCCTGCCACAAAAAACACTTGTGCTACTCAACCGTGCTGTTCACGTGTGAACCCAGGCACAAGTCTCCGTTTTAAGTAAAGGGTGTTTCAAAACTTCAGCTGAAATGGTTTTTGAACTGTAAGGCCCTGGAAGGGAGTGGCAATCTAAAACAGATTTTTATCACTCAAATAAAAAGTATCTACAATATGTAGAGCCACAGCCCACCCTGTAGCTCAACAAGGAGAGTAACATGCTTTGGGCAGAGATTATTGACATCCAGACTACTGCTCCTAGAAGTGGATATGTCCACGGAGGCCCGAGAGGTAGACCCAGCTTCCACTGGAATCCTAAATCTACAAATACATTCACCTTGCACACCACTACGCAGTGCCCCAGCCCCCAGCCAACTGAGCTTGATTAAATATGACTTAAGTTCTAAAGTGTTCATAGTGGGTAGCCTGGGCAGGGAAGTGGGGGTGGCTGGGATGGGCATATTTCATTTTCTACTTTGTACATTTCTGATTAATTGAAAATTTTTACATTGATACACACACACACACACACACACACACACACACACACACACAGTCAACCAGAAAAAAAGTAAAGTATTTCCACTTGGGTGGGGACTCAATAAATCACTAAGGAAAACAAGCAGATCATTCACTTGAAAGCTCACTGCAACTGAACCTCTGCACACTACCGTAAGGAGCCCAGGAAAAAGGCACCTTCCTTCCCCCAATGCACGCGGTATGTTCTCCCCATGTGACAGAAAGTTTCTGCCCAGCATTCCTCTCACCTATCAGAAACAGCTGTTTAAACTTAGAGTATGCAGTCTGGATGTCCGGCAGGGACAGGAAGTTGCCTGACAGATCTTCGGTTTTGACAATTTCATAGGGTGGCCTATGGATGATCCTGTAAATTCTAGGTTCAAAAGTAATGAGAGATTAGAAGGGCAGGGCAGGCATGAACTAGAAATGGCCTATTTTTCCTGAGCACTTACTCCATGCCAAGATCTGTGTAAAGGGCTTTGGAGGTGTCCTTCCCCCCCTTTTTTTAATTAGGAAAATCCTTTATTTCTGCTCCTTTCATACACCTTACTGTTCAGGAAACAGTCTCACACACGTATGTGAAATAATGTGCTGTCTCACACTGTGCTTAAAGGCAAAGCACCACAGGTAAAGCTGATCAGCTGTCCAGAGGTCTCAACTTATCGGATCTTGCTTCCTGACTTTACATTCATTTCTGAAAGTCAGAAATGTCATCTCCAAAAAAATGCTAAGAGAATTGTAAAAAATAATCACTCTATTCAATATTATGGGTGTAGAAATGGAGTATGTTTTAAGAAATTAAAAACTGAGAAGAAAGTGATATTTAACATAATTGGTCTGTCCGTGTAGGTCAACAGGAAAAAACACTGTGATAAGCTTGTCTCTTAGAAACCAAGAAATATTCTAGTCTGAGCTTTGACATGCTCCCCGTTTCCCACCAGGTGTTTCTTTTCTGCTGCCCTCCACCCTTTTCCTGCTGCATATCAGAGGTTTGGTGCAGCCTTTCAAACGTCATTAACAGGAACGAACCCAGGATCCACAGATTTCTTCTCAAAAGGCACACTAACCCATCAGACAATCCAGCAGTTTCACTCTCATGAATTCTCCAGCCATGAAAAACTCAAGAGGACACAGATGAATCCAATGAACAGAAGAAGAAATCTTCTGAGTTTTGGAATATTTGGAGCATTGGATCGGTTTAGGATTATGAAACCTAAACCTCCCACTGTAAATAGGAAGCTGGATGCGAGTCCCTCCATAATGTCCATTTACTCTGTAGGCCAAGAAAGCTACTGGTCTCTGATGCCCATGTTCATCAGTCATAGAGCCAACACTTGGAGGTTCAACAATAACATCATAAATTATTCCTCCGGTGATGGGGAAGTAAGACACCACTGCCAGCGGGTACACCATCATGGCCGAGGGCATATGCACCTAGGGTGGCTTCCTCAGCTTCAGGTTGGGGCATTCCAGCACTAAGAATGGGACTTAGTACAATGTCTCCATGCCGGTGGCGGCAAGGGCAGCTCTCGGTCTGGTGTCCTCCCAGTTTACCCTCACTTACGAGCTAAGTACCACAGGATCACCAGTGCCTGTCCACGCAAGTGGAAATGGAGGTGAGTGGAGCAACTTCCTGGCCCAAGATTATACACTGATGGAGCCATATGTGAACTAAGGCAATTTGATTCCAAAGCCTATATCTTTTCTGTTTTTAATTCATGCACTTTGGGGTTTTTTAACATTTTATTTTGAAATTTTCAAACATGAAGAAAAATAGAGAAGAATAGCACGGTGATGTGTATCATGACCTAGACTTGACAACTGTAAACATTAAAGACATCACGCCACTTCCCCCTAAATGCTTCAGCATGTGTCTCTAAAAACAATGTAGGTGACATTCTTAATGATCACATTGCACTCCTTTCAAAGTAATTTAAAACAACCACTCTCAGTCGTATTCCAGAGCACTAAGCTCTCAGAGGTAAACAGATATGAACATATTACTAGGAACTGTCCCCTACTTCTTGGAAAACAAGAACGAAGCTGAGCAATAACAAAATGTCAAAGAGTACTGACCCATCCAAGAAGTTCTTTTGGATTTGTAAAATGGCATCGTCCTGTTCTTTGGGCAGTGCTGACATTTTCAAAAGGGCACATCCATTGTGGTGGGACCAACACCATATCTGCAGAGAGAAGTAAAGGTTTTCCAAATATAATGTACACAACCCAACAGGGAACAGGTGAGCTTAGCATTTAAACTCATACTGGAAAATTTATAAGTTCAATACAAAATGGCTAGATATATTCAACTTTGCTAAGTTAAGGAATAGTTACAATGAAAAAGACTGATTTAGTCTTAAAAACAAAACAGGTCCAGACAGACACGCTCAGACTTGCTTATGGCCTAACACACCTTTGACTTGGCTTTAGTGTTGGGAACCTAGATGATGATGACATTGCTATTATTGGGAGAGTGGCTACTGCAGGAGTACAGCTTATCATGGCAGGATTTTACATGAATCAACTTATTTAATTTGCACACTGAGGCAGGTATGATTATTATTCCAGAATGTTCTGGAACTGGATAGTGGTAACGGTTGCAACAAGGTTGTGAATATACTAAAAAGTTACTAGTGATAAATTTTTATGTTATGTGTATTGAGAACTCTACATTCCCCGAGTAAATGTATAAATTCCATCTGTGTAGTAATTTTCTGCTGTCCATTCGTGCCCTCAGAATGGCTGACCTAATAAAGTGAAAACACCTTCCTACAGTGTTCATCAAAGTTATGTTGTCGACTCCTTACTCAGGTTCTAAAACGCTTTCTGCTGCTCAGCCCAAGGCCTGGCTAGAATACAGAACATCGAAATTCCATACAATGTGGATGGAGAGGCACCTGTTCCCATGTGTGCAGAATTTCATGTTTCTTCCCACAGAGCATACCTTCTTTTCCTAGCTGAATCTATGAAAGGATAGCTGCTTTTTCCATGGAATTGAAAGAATGAGAGATAAATTATGGGTGTTCAGACTTTGGTAACTGGTAAAGTCATTCTTAAAAAAAAAAAAGAAGTGAGCTTATCACCTCAAAGAAAAAGCTGACAAATTGTCGCCAATGATAAAAACTGAACTTTCAAGTAAAAATTAGAATTTTGGAAAACTAGTTTCTGGCTTTTTAGCTGAACAGCTTCCCAATATTTAAAGATTTTGCTGATTTAAAGATTTTCCTATATTACATACAGAAATGTCAATATCTGGACAATCTATATTACCTAGTGAACCAATATATTCCAGATGACCAACGTATAATGTTATAAAATCATGCATGTTTTAAGATCCATTCAAAGTACAAGATAGACCAATGCATTTTAATTTAGCAGAGAATGGAAAGTTTGTTGATTATATTTTCAGATTCCTTATTGCAATTAACCTACTACTGATCACTTCTTGATGTACCATCAAAGAACAATATTCTCAATTATCAAAAAGGCTATTATATATTCCTTCCTTTCCCAAATACATATCTGTTAGGCTGGATTTTTCTTCATGTAATTCAACCAAAGCCTAACATACCATAACAGACTAAATGAAAGGAGCATACGGAAGAATCCAGTTGTCTTCTATTCTCAAAAATGTAAAACAGTGTTATTCTTCTATTTTTAAAAATTTTGGACAATATAGTTATTTTTCATATAAATATGTTATTTACATTAGCAGGTAATGAGTTTATCACTAAAATAACTATTTTTTAATGTTTTAGTTTTAATTTTTAATATGGCAAATATCAATACATAGAACCATATAAACAAAAACTCTTTGAGATCCTCAATAATTTTTAAGAGTGTAAAAAATCCTGAGACCAGGAAGTTTAAGAACTACTGCTCTAAATTAAAGGTTGCAAACTGGTGGGACATGAGCCAACTTGGCCCCCCAACACGTTTTTTAAACCTCTGAATCAAATGCATACATTTAGGAATCAGGAAAACTCACATAAAAATCCGTATCTGTGGTTTCTCCTGAGAAAGCAGGGCATCTGGCAAGACCAGGCCCATATTCCCATATAGCACAAACCTGCTGCCACAGAGGAGCAGCCACCCTGGCTCACAGTAAGGGCCACACCTGCATGTGCTTCTGGGGAGGTGACCCCAGCTGACACACCTTGCCTCCTATACAGAAGTGAGCAACTTTTCTAGTCAACTAGCAATGTGTACAGCATAGCACTTACTTGTAGTTCCCATTCCTCACTAAATTCCTGAGGGCTTGGTAACCCCCAACCACCCATTAGAAACTAGAGAAACTGCCAGAGTCTTGATTTCTTTGATCATTGACACATTAAATATGGCTCCCATCCCAGCTGATTCTGTGAAAACTCTGGAAGCTCTTTGTGTTGTCTCTGGGAAAAAACAAGGCCATGCCCATTCAAAGATTAATGGTGTGGGCCAAAAACAATCTTAAACCCTATAACCCTTAGAGTGGTCAGCTCAGCCTCAAAATTATTTAGGTGTTAAATCAGGCTGGCTTTCAACACCAGACAGCTCTGTAATCCTCTTAAAGCCTTTAAAAGATGTCTCTGCTAAGAACTCCAGTGCATCTGTGAAAACTTTAGAACCCTGTCCCATGGGGCCTCATGTCTAAGAGACTCCTCTAGGGAGTCCCTACAATATTTTTGGATCACTCCTTGGACTGAGGACAAACTCTTTAGGTACCAAAACTGAGGGCTTTAAGTAGAATAATTTGCCAAGATGGGCAGATGCGCAACCCATGGCTGTTAGGGTTTCCAGATGTACTTACTGGTATGCCGTGACCCTGAAAGCGTGACACATTCTCTTCAGAAAGAGGGGTGGGGACAACAAAGTATGCTGGCAACCTAGAAGAAAGAGATGTCATCAGTTTTAGTACTTGAGTTAATTCACTAAATATGAAAGCTCAACTTTAATGAACAAAGGAAGTGGTAGGAAATGGACCATATTTCCCTGCTCAGAACCAGCGCAGATGAACTCTTTCCAGGCAAATCAGTCAAGAATCTAAGCTCAGATCCTAGCTCTGCCTGATTCTGTGTAACTAGATAAACTACTCCACCTCTCTGGGTCAGTTCTCTCATCCATAGAATGAGGGGGCTGGAATATGTGATATTTAAAAGTACAGTGTTGCCTCAGTTTTCACACGTCTCCAATGACGAACATTTTGGTTTACAAATGCCATAAACCCGGAAGGAAATGCTTCAGTTTTCGAATACCCCTCAGAAGTCAAAGATGCCACACGGCTTCCGCTGAGGGCAAGATCCTGAGGCCTAGCTGTCAGCTACTGATCCCTCGGTTTTCGAATGTTTCAGAACTCAGTCTTCTGGAACGGATTACATTCGAAAACCAAGGTACCACTGTATATGAATTCAAAATTGAGAGTGATCTTTCTTGTCATTTAGTGACAATATAAGCACTTGTGTGGCTTTCAAATAGATTAAGATGAAATCCAGTAATTATGATGACTACTGCCCATTTTATCAAGTGCTCTTATACTTAAGTGCCAGAATGTTTTAATTACTTAATATAAATTATTCATTTAATCTTCTCAACAACACTATTATTATTTCCATTTTACAGATAAAGAAACTGAGACACAGCACTGCTAAGGCCCTTTCCAATTTACACAACTAGTAAGCATTAGTGGAGCTGGAACCTGACCCCAAGCAATATGACTTCAGTTTCTACACGAGAAAATTGAGGTTCTAAAAGTAACAAACCTGTTAAGAAGGGACCAGGGAAAGACAGGTTTTCAGAGTTGCAGAGATCAGAGATATGCAAGGACACCATGTCCTTCTCTAGTTAGCAGGTACAGGTTTCTTTTAATAAGGTTGCACAAGTTCTATCACTGCGGAGCTGTAAAGATCTTTTACTCAAAGAGCTTGAAATAAAGGCTCACGGGAGATAAGAAGGTGCCTATGGTGTAAAAACTACAATGAACATAATCAGATGGTGTTTGTATGCTGCATGTGTGAAGTAAATCTCTTAAGTAATAGGTCATGGGAAAGATTAATTTTCTAAGTGGAAAAGATCCAAATTTGAATGTGATCAAGCTAGTGGATCGAATCAATTCATAGAGGATGGAGCAACATTTTAAACATCACATGGGGATATGCTCATCAAAATCCAGACTCTGGCCTGGCCGACGTTGCTCAGTGGTTGAGCATCGGCCTATGAACCAGAAGGTCATGGTTCAATTCCCAGTCAGGGCACATGCCTGGACTGCGGGCTCGATCCCCAGTGGGGGCCGTGCAGGAGGCAGACAATCAATGACTCCCTGTCATCACTGATGTTTCTATCTTTCTTTCCCTCTCCCTTCTTCTCTCTAAAATCAATAAAGACACGCCCTGAGGATCAAACCCGCAACCTGGGTATGTGCCCTGATCAGGACTCAAACCCGCCACATTTTGGTGTACGGGATGATGCTCTAACCAACGGAGTCACACCGGCCAGGGAACCAGTTAATTTCTTATATCTGTCACTGAAGCGGGATGAATGTCAGAACCAAGTGGATTGGTATATGTACCACACAGTCACTTGAGAAAGGAGGATGCCAGCTCTGACCTTGGGGGAAGGTGACATAGACACTCAGTTCCTCTTTTTTTTAAAGATTTTTTTGAATTGATTTTGAGAAAGAGGAAGGGAGGAGAGAGAAACATCAATGTGAGAGTGGAATACTGATGGGATACCTCCTGCACACCCCCTACCAGGGATCAAACTCACAACCTGGGCATGTGTCCTGACCAGGAATTGAACTGGCAACCTTTCAGTGTACCTGATGATGCCCAACCAACTGAGCCACACTGGCCAGGGCTAGTTTCTTACTCTTATCCAAACTGGTTAGAGTCCCTTCTAACTACTGATGGGGCTTTCATTAATTTATATACTCTGTCTCCATTTCTTGAGTCCCTCTTAAATCCAGGTACTGCACTTGGTTTTGGGATATACAGAGTAGGGCAAAAGTAGGTTTACAGTTGTGAATATGCAAAAGGCTTTATTGTTATTATTTATTAACTATTATATTATTTGCCATACGAACAACTGTAAACTTACTTTTGCCCCACCCTGCAATAATGAACAGACAGTGTCCTTGATTCCCCAGAGCTGCCTTCTCTACCAGGTGTATTTCTGATGTGCTGACATCTAAGCAAATACCAATGAACTGAGCCAGTACGTGGCAGGATTTTTTCTAAACAATTCTGGGAATGGAAATGCCCTGTATCAGTACCAACATCACATTACAAACTATCACCTCCCAGGAGCAGGGGCTTCCAACCTCTTTCCGAGCAAGAGTAGCTTTCCCTTTCAAGCTTTGTGACTATAAAGGGAGGAGCTGAATGGGGCACAGGGGGGATTAGGACACTCCCCCTGCAGGCACCCTGCTGTCACCCCAGTTCCCACTGTGACAGTAGGAATAATCTCATAAATGTTTGAGGTTAGTTAATATTGAAACTGATCTGCTGAAGGGGCCCATCTGAACCATGAATACAAAATGTTCCACAAGAGTACAGTAGTCACACTTATCCACAGGGATACGTCCCAAGAACCCCAGTGGATGCCTGAAACCACGGATAGTACCGAAACCTATATATACTATGCTTTTCCCTATACATACATACCTATGATGAAGTTTAACTTATAAATTAGACATAGTAAGAGATTAACAATAACAGAACAATTATAACAATATATTGTAACAAAAGTTATGTGAATGTGGTTTTTCTCACTCTCTCAAAATATCTTATTGTACTGTACTCACCTTCTCACTTAAAGGAAGCACTTTATAGTTTCTCTTTGGCATTTATCGAATTGCCAGCATCACTACTCTTGCACTTTAAGCCATTTTTGAGTAAAAAAAGGGTTACTTGAACAAAAGCACTGTGATACCACAGTCAATCTGATAACCAAGATGTCTAGTAATTGGTTGGTTGGCGTCTATACCCAATTTAACTCTTATGAGTTGTTTATTTCTGTAATTTTCCATTTACTATTTTGGGAATGCAGTTGACTGCGGGTAACTGAAACCATGGAAAGCAAAACTGTGGATAAGGGAAGACTAATGTACAAATTTTATGAAACTGTTAGCAGAGTGATGGGGCATTATGTTCCAAAATGATAAGACTCGGGTTTCTAAAAGAGAGTTATGCAGAGTCATCCTGTAAAATGTAGGTCAGAACACATCCTGCCTCTGCTCAAACTCCTCCTCACTGAACTATAAATTCTTCTGAAAGTCTCCCAGGCAGTCGCCACCCAGCTGCCCCTCTCCTCCCTGCCCTGACCTCCTACTACTGTCCCTTGCTCGCTCCTCTCCAGCCCCCTGGGCTCCTCGCTGTTCCTCACACAGCCAGACAAGATTCCACCTCAGGGCCTTCATTCTTACTGTTCCCTTGGCCTGCCCAACCCTCCCTGCCAACACCTCTAGCACTCTCTAACCCCTTCCCTGATCTATTTTTCTCCGAAGCACTTATGACCTTTTAATACACTATAAATGCTCATTTATTCTATCATCATTTTCCATCATTCCATCATCATTAAAAATCCTAATGACAGCTCCAAGATTTTTAGACTCTGTTTACTGCTGTATCTTCAGTGGCTAGGACACTGCCTGGCACATACCAGGCACTCAAAATTTTTACTGAATGCATCAAGTGAATTGAAGTGTTTGATAAGAGGAAAGCAAATACACAATATAAATTCAGGATGCCTCTAAAAATTTTACACTTATAGATACAATAATAGGAAAAAAGATACAAATTCACTTTCAAATATTATAAGGGATACTCTAAGGGTATTAGCGTGAAGAAAGGGGAACCTTTCTGATGGGAATGTAAAATAGAGTAGTTGCTGTGGCAAATAGTCTGGCAGTTCCTCAAAAAGTTAAATGCAGAGTTAACATGGCCTAGCAATTCTGCTCCTAGGTGTTTATCCAAGAGAAATGAAAGTATACATACATCAAAACCTTGTTCTCAAATGTTCACAGCAGCATTATTCATAATAGCCCCAAAGTGAAAACCACCCAAATTCCCATCAACTGATGAATGGATCAATAAAACATGGTATATATATATATATCTATACCGTGGAATATTATTCAGCAATAAAAAAGAATGACATTCTGATACATGCTACAACATGGAGGAGCCTTAATAACATTATGCTAAGTGAAAGAAGCCAGGCATAAAGCCCATATACTGTACGATTCCATTTATATGAAGTGTCCAGAACAGGCAAATCTAGAGGCAGAAAGCAGATGAGTGGTTGCCTAGGGCTGGGGGTGCTGTGAGGACATGGGGAGAGACTACTAAAGTTATGAAGTTTCTTTTGGGGATGATGCGAATATTCTAAAACTGACTGTAGTAATGGCTGCACAACTGTGTGAATATACTTTCAAACGCTGTATATTTCAAATGGTGAACTGTACAGCATATGAATTAGATCTCAATGAAGCTGTTTTTAAAAAGCGCAGCGCTGAAAGCTTACCTCTCACAGACTTTGTAGCCTTCATTGACGCTCACTGCGCTGTACTTCAGGTTGCCTTTGGTCCGCTCCAATTCCCAGCGCCAGTCCTCAAGTGTGTCAAACATTACAGTATGGTTCTTGGGACTGGTGGCTAACAAAATAAATTTTAAGACAATAAAATCTTGTCATGAAGTGCTGATATGTTAATGATGAAAAGGAATCTTCAGGCCCCAATTTCCTCTACTGCACCCATTTTTATCCAAGCAGAATGAATTCACTGCTTAATCCTAACCTTGTTCCTGTTTTCTGTCACTAATCCAAAATTATGACTGAGATTCTTTTTATTATTATTATTTTTTTTTTTTTAATCCTCACCAGAGGATATTTTTTCCATTGCTTTTCAGAGAGAGTGGAAGGGAGAGAGAGAGAGAGATCGAAACATTGACGTGAGAGAGACATATCAGTTGGTGGCAGGGGCCAGGATCAAACCTGCAATCGAGGTACGTGCCCTTGGCTGGAATCAAACCCAGGATCCTTTAGTCTGAGGGCTGACGCTCTAGCCACTGAGCAAATCAGCCAGGGCTGTCTTCTTTTTAATCCCTACCCAAGGACACGCTTAAAGAGAGGAAGAGGGAAAGGAAGAGGAAGATGGAGAGGGAGAGAGGGGGAGGAGGAGAGAAAGAGGGAGATGGAGGGGGGAAGAGGGAGGGGGAGAGGAGGGAAGAGGAGAGAGAAAGACAGAGGGAGCGAGAGGGAGGGAGAGGGAAAGAGGGGGGATGGAGAGGGAAGAAAAGGGAGAGGAAAAGGGGGGAGCGGGGGCGAGAGGGAAAGAGACATTGATCTGTTGCCTTCTGTACACACCCTGACCAGGGATCAAAACCTGCAACCCAGGAATCAAACTGTCAACCCTTTGGGGCACAGGAGGATGCTCAACCAACTGAGCCACTCCGGCTAGGCGAGGCTCTGTCTTTTTATATTGGAGCAAAGGAGTTGTTCTAGTTCCATTCCTTGCAAAAGTAATTATAGCTCCATTTTTAGTCATCTGACTATGAGATAATTTATATAACATAAAAAAATCCTGAAAGGCCCTAAAAGACGGGCTTAGCACAAATGCTAAAATAATATTTTTAGCCCTACCAGTATGTGCATAGGATGACAAACTCATCTGAATAGCATGTCCAATTCCTGAATGTCAATCCTCCTTCTATTTGAAGATACCCTGCCAACAAGAGGATTTTCCAGCATGACACCTGGTTTCTGAAGGCCACAAACAAATCAGAGCCATGGGGAAGGCCAGGGCCTGCTAGCCAATGGCTGCATCACAGTGACGATACCTTTGTCCCTACCCTGCCCTGCTACTACCTGCTAGAAGGCAATGCCCAGGATCACTGCTCTTGTAGCTCAGCAGATGGGTCCCTGGCACTCCCCCAAGCCATAGCACTGCTTGCTGGGGGTAACATATACTACAATAGTTTTGGGTACTTACACAAATCAGCCTTTGAGTATCTAAAAAAACAAGCATTCTGCCCAGCTGGGGGTGGATCAGTGGTTGAGCATCGACCTAGGATCCTGGAGATCGCGGTTTGATTTCTGGTCAGGACACATGCCCGGGGTTGCGGGCTCAATCCCCAGCTGGGGGCTTGCAGGAGGCAGCCGATCAGTGATGACTCATCATTGATGTGTCTCTCTCTCTCTCTCTCGCTCTCTCTCTCTCTCTCTCTCTCTCTCTCTCCCCCTCCCATCCTCTCTCTGAAATAAATAAAATAGATATATTTTTAAAAACAAAACAAAACAAAACCAAAAAAAAAGCATTCTGGGAAAAATAAAGTGATGATAAAACTCTCATCTGCTTTTTTAAGTAAAACCAGATCATTGTACAAGGGATGATAATAAGAATAATGACTTTTAAAAACAATGGTTAAACTTACAGCACTTAGTACATACTAGGCACTTTCTGAGCATATTACATGTATGAACTCAATCCTTACAACCCTATAGGTTAGGTGGTATTATTTCCTCCATTTTACAGATGCAGCACACAAAGGTCAAATAACTTGCCCAAGGTCACAGAGCTAGGCAACAGCAGAACTGGAATTCAAACCTAAGCAAATATAAAGAAAATCTCCATAAAGTAATAAATACCAAAAAAATTTCCCCATGCACATAAATACTACTACTTCAATTCAAGCATAGCAGATCATTTTCTTTACAATACAGACAGGTCCTTCCTAAAATGCCATGTCATAAGCATGTAAGAGGACCTTTCAGCCAAAGCACATTTATGAACTGTTAAGCCTGAGAGTAATTAAAGACATTCAGATTGCACAGTAGCCAGCTCTACAAACCCCTACTCAGTGAAAAAGCTAACTGGTCAGTTCACATCTATCTGATACAACCTTTACTTATCAAAAACTAGGGGTTAAGAGGAGGAGAAAAGAAGGATGGGATTAAAATAGAATAAAAAAATGCTTCATATCCTGGGCCTTCTCACACAAAGAGCCACCACAAGGTAACGAAACTGCCAGGTCGATCAAGGTAAGGAGTTTTGCACACAGACTGACATGTTGGCCAGCTGAGAAAGTGTCCTACACTGGGTCCGGACCAAGAATCAGAATATAAGGAAGAACTAAAAACACAGGCTGACTTTCCAAATGTGAACCCAATACATGTCTATATAAATTATAGCGATCAACAAAGTCATATTTTGCATATCTCATATCACGACAAGCAGTTGTAAGCCAGCACCGTTACTCAGCACCTGAACATATATCTACAGGGAAAAGATCTGTCATTCACAAAGATGAACCTACTGACTGAAGAAACTAATCTTACGTTCAGCCTAACAGTAGTGCTAACTATATTTTAAGTCGACGGAATTCTCTGAACATATGGCAACAACATCCTGAGTGATATCCAGCTATACTCTCAATGAACCCTCACTTACCGACTCCACCCTCGATATCACACATTTAATAATTTATCATCTTCACAACACTTCAAAGGAAGCATTCACACTACTGGTTTTTAAAATGGGAAAACAAGAGGCCCCAACATCACACAGCTACTAAGCAGCTAAGCAAGGATTTGAACTCAAATGAGAAAGACCCCAAAATTCATACCTTTTCTACTAAATCACCACAGTTCCCAAAATGTACCCTGTTCCCTCAGATATCCCCATCTCTGCCTAAAATACGCCTCTGTGCCTACCAGGCATTCCCACATCCTCCATATCAGCTCCTGCACAGCCTTCGCCCTCTGACAGCCCCCCCCCCGCAGGGTGGTCAGGAGCTTCCTCCTCCTGCTCCATGGCCCCTTCCAACAGAGGACACTTCACTCAGCTGCTTCCAACATAATGCTCTTAGAAGACAGGGATTTAGTCCTGTCCACCTCCATATCCCCACTGAATGAGCAATAAGTGACAAAGCAACTCTGCATTCCAGAAACCCTGATATGTGCCATTAAACTAGCATGCCACTTCCCTGACGAGAAGCACACAGCACGCAGGATCGCCAAACATCAATTTCCTGTTAAGAGTACTGGGCAGAGCAAGGGAACAGATGGAGGGGAGAGATCTAGAAAAAGAAGACAGACATCTGTGGAAACACTGTACAATGCTAGGCACTATTAATAGCTAACTCAGATGACCAACGTTTCTTAGTTAAAAGACTGCTCTTTTTTTCAGTGAATTGAATGGAAAATATTTGGAATCTTACCTTTTCTAACCCAGCTAGTTTTCTGATGTGCTCTTTTTTTAATAATGCTAACTGCAAACCCTTAGAGTTCACTATGGGCCACGTACTTTTCTGAGTACTTTATATATATTCCCTAATTTAATCTTCCTAACATCCCAGTGAGGTAGATACCTTTATTATCTCCATTTTACAGGTGAAAAAACTGAGACACAGAAAATTTAAGTAATTTGCTCCAGGTCACACAGCTAATAACTGGTGGCCTTGGGATTCAAACCCAGGCATTCTGGCTCCTATGTAGATACTGCCTCTCGTGCTATTCCATGGAACATCTGGTTGTCCTGATGTGTTCTTTTATGTACAACTGTTCTACTTCCCCCAAAATATCTGCTATAAAGCATGTCCTGGTTGTTTAAAAACTTTCTAGCCTTGGCTGGTGTGGCTCAGTTGGTTGGCATCATCCTGTACACCAAAAGGTGGCAGGTTCAATTCCCGGTCAGGGTACATATCCAAGTTGCAAGTTTGATTCCCGGTTGGGGTGTATACGGGAGGCAACCAATTGATGTTTCTCTCTCACATAAACACTTCTCTTTCTCCCTCTCCCTTCCTCTCTAAAATCAAATAAAAATATATCCTCAGGTGAGGATTAAAAATATAAGCAAGCAAACAAAACCTTTCTAGAATGCAAGACATTCTCTAGAGTCTGACGATATGCAATCAAGTATATTAAAGTGGAAAAAAGAACCAGGGACAAACAGGGCTATTTTAAACTTGTCTCAATATTGTTTCTCTATAGTCTCACAACTGCAGTTATAATATATTGATTTTATCTTTCATAAGAAACAAATCAATAATCCCTCACAAAAAGACAACAAACCTAAAAAATAAGTTAAAGCAACAAAGATCACAGGAAAAAAAATAGAAACCTTTTTTCTTTTTTAAAAGAACCTGAATGTGTCACCCAAGCAAAGGTGACCAATTGCTTGAGAAGAGGAGGCAACGCCTCATGGATGGATTTCTCACACTACTTTCAGGTAGAAATTGGAAAGTGTGCCCACCTATAAACTAAAGCCCAGAAGACACTTACCCATATTGTTTTTTACAGCAGATGCATAGGAGAAGAGAAACAATCGTTTAAGCAGTTTAGGAGCCAGGGTATGATGAATTATGCCACTGACAATCTAGAAAAGAAGCAAGCAATGGACACAGTCATGTTTTTGGCAGATAACCACTGAGCTGTTTTCAGTCATGCTAATAGGTGCCTATGGGCAGCATGTCAACAGTCTCATTGAGGTCTGCATCTGTGACCTTATCTCTTAGAATAATGCCAAATAAACAAATCCTTACCATTTTGTCAGGTTTTTAAAGAGCTTTGAACTTCTAGGGAAATTTTCAAAGCATATTCTAACTTCTCAAAAACTAAGTGCTAAAACATCTCAAGTGCCATGTGCAGATACTCTAAAAATCTATTAAAGACATACAGCACATATCAGATAATAACCAACACATTTAGCTATTCTGATCCATCTGTGGCCTTTAGGACTCCCTTCTAGAAGATTAGAGAAAGCAATCAACCCATGTGCTTCTTGTTCGAGGTTCCAAAAAAAGGTATGTTTGGATAGATGACTGAATTATCATTCAGAAAAAAGGCTGTGGCTTCTCAGGGAACTTTCTATATCTGCACCACTCTTCTGCTCACAATGGATCCTGGAGCCATGTTCACTGGTCTAACTGAACTTCCACACCACCTGAGGAAACCAAGGACTGGCCTATAAGTGAGGGTAACTCCCTGGAGCCAATGACAGGTGAACTGGCCTCTTGCCTGGTTTCCCCTGGTGCATTTCATCATGAGAGTGGCAAGCTGGAGACCTTTAATATCTCAGTAAGAGGAATCTCAGAGGTTACAAAGATCACGGTACCCAGTTCACCCAGTTATTCATCTTAATTTGCTGTGGCAGCCAGATTAAGCTTACTACAGTGTCCGAAAGCACTTGGCTTTGCCTGTCTAACGAGTGTGCCTCCTTCTCCTTCCACACACTTCCACTGCTCCCCAGATGCAAGCTCGACCATCCAGGAGCCGGGAACCACTGCTACTGCCTCCTGGAAAGATTGTTGGGCAAGGTAAGAGGGCTGCTTCTAGCTGTTCCCTCCTTCCCTAGAAAGGCTGTTGGGCAAGGTAAGAGGGCTGCTTCTAGCTGTTCCCTCCTTCCATTTCCTTGAATGCCTCCTGACCCTGGCTTTCCACTTCCCACCTTTAAGAGGCTCCAGGAATAAAAACATTATGGATTGAAGAATTAAAGATAGCATGTGCCAAGATATACACAAGCATGCTTTACCAAATTTCTCTCACTTCTAATCAAAGCATATGGGATTGTAACCAATTTCAACTTTACAGGGTAAAAGGCTCCCTTCAACCTTCATGCAATGTAAGCAAAAAATAGTAGGGAAAGCCTGACGGGAAACAGAGCCTGAAAACACATGCGACTAGTTACCCTTTTGACTTCCTCTTCTTTCGTGTACCTCAGGCAGAAGTGGAACACCCGCAGGTCCTTGCAGTGGATGATGAGTTTCTCGGGGTATTTCTTCAGTTGTCCAAAGAGAGTTTTTTTTTTCTCATCAAACACTGCACAGGCGATAAACAATAAAGTCAGGAAGGGAAATTGTTATAAGGCAGCAAGTTAATGCTAAAGAAACAAGGTGTACTATTAACTTGTAAGGAGAGCTCTCAGAAGGGAGAGGAGAGGTGGTACCTTCTGAGTAATGGTCAGCGGTCCAGTCCCACCCGGAGGGCCCTGGCTCGCTGACAACACTCAGGGTTCTTCATCCCTCTGCAGGAAGCACTAGACTCAAAAGGACTGGCCACTGTCAGAACTGACTCCACCGACCTGCAGAAAACCCAGCTCTGAAAGCTGAGATTACAAAAGATGGACAGGACACCCTAGGAACATGGTTTTGGAACAGTCAACTCCTGAGTTTATGGCTGGGGGCCCCTCCTGCCACCTCCCTCCCTGTCCCAGGTTTGGCCACGCAGCACCTACAGACGTCAGAAACATCATAAATGACTACTGACTGATTTCTGGCAAAGTCCTCTTACAAAAATAGAGTGGGCGGAGAGGCTTGAACACAGGGAAGACACTCACATGCAGGACGGACAACAGACTTTTATCAGATTTGCCTTTACAGTAAAACCTACATGACTAACACTGACAGCAGAAGGTATGATCAAAATCTATACAATGGGCACTGTGGAGTATTAAAAAGAACAGGTCCTAAGTTCAAATTTGAGCTCCTCCAGCTAAGTGACCCCAAACAAGTCACTTTGTATCTCAATTTTTTATCCATAAAACTAATTTAAACAAGATAAATATGTGAAGAAATTTTAGTAAACTATAAAAGACCAAAGAAACATTATCAGCTACACTTTCAAAAGCTGGCAACATCCCAGGGGAAAGCAGATACTTACCCCCATAAATCTGATCCACACAGTGGAGTGTAATGTCATTTTCTCCTATAATCTTATTCTTAAATTGGGTTTCCTAAAAGATTCAAAAGGGAACAATTGGGACTCTTTTCTATGCACCGTTAGACATTTACAAACAGCAAGTCACCATTCTCCACTCACACATGAAGCCAAACAGGGAGTAGGGCTGGTGTGGCTCAGCAGCTGAGCATCAACCTATGATCCAGGAGATCGTGGTTTGATTCCCGGTCAGGGCACATGCCCGGGTTGCGGGCTCAAGCCCCAGTGGGGGGCACGCAGGAGGCAGCCGATCAATGACTCGCTCTCATCACTGATGTTCCTCTCTCTCTCTCTCTCTCTCTCTCTCTCTCTCTCTTCCTCACTCTGAAATAAAAAAATTAAATTAAATTTAAAAAACAAACAGGGAAACGCAGCCACATGCCTGGGAAGGAGACTATGAGATGTGTGAGAAAAACTGTGATCACTGGTTTGTCAAACCCAGGCCGAACATGCCATTCCTGGGCCGCTCCTAGGCAAACGTAACGTGCCACACACGATCCCTTTGAGAGGTGCTGGGAAGTGGCACGCAGGTTACGATTTGTCCACACAAATACAAGTAGGTAAGTGACGGAGTTATGCAGGAAGAAAACACCAGGAGACTCAAGTTTCTGTAAAGGCTATCTTTTAGAGGACTGGGAAACAAGTCACTGCAGTGGACAGGAGCCAGAAGACCGCACTAAGATGGCAATGGTGCTGCTAAGAGGAGAGGGTGGGTGGGATGGCTGCATTGCCATTAACATACAGTGCTCTCCAAGTGGTGTGGCCAGTTCTCCCACTGCACTGCTCATTCTGCATAAGCAGGGACAAGTCCACTCGGTGCAGAGTGAACCCAAATTCAAGTGCTGCATTTGGCATCAGTTTCATAACTGAACTTAGTTCCCAAACTTAAGGAAGAGTTTAGTATAGAGAAAACGAGGGGGACCAGCATATCTGGGAAGATGTGATTCCAATGAGTGACATACACTGCAATGAAATACAGAAGAAATAAAAAATGTCAACCTATGAAGTCAAATGCAAGCCAGCGTGACATGAGGCACAAGCAGGAATTTCTAGAATGGTCCTACCACTGGGAGGAAATCCTAAGGACAGAGAACAGATTAGTGGTGAGCAGGATTTCTGTCCTTTGTGTTTGTGTGTGCTGGGGGTGGAATAACTACTGAGCTGGGAAAAAAGACACTGGGGCCACCTCCCCCAAACTCAGCCAAATGAGGCTCAGACATACATCATTATCCAACGCAGACTCGTCACCGCCCAAGAAAGCAATCTTGAAGTCTGTGCAGACAAGTTTCCCATAGATCCCATGCTGGCAGGAATCTTCCTGGACATACTTCAGTACTGTGCTGGCTTCACAAAGCAGCTGCTCACCTGGGAGAAACCAAAACAAGTGTTCTTTAAGAGTCCTTGGGGAATATACGGCATGTAGTGACCAACATGCAACACATGCAGCACTCAGAAGTTTACACTTTCCAACAAGGCAGAAGCTGCAGAAGTGGAAGTAGAAGACGAGACAGAGAGGGGACCACTGAGAAATGAGATAAATGGTTCAGATGCACCCTCACACAGGGCGTCTCTCCATCTTCTCACTGTGAATAATAAAAGTTTCCAAAGAAGTGGAAATGACCTCAGCTAGACTTGCAGGCATAAGATTGCAATGTTTTTATTGCTTGGACCCAAGCAGACAGTCCATAGAAGCAGTACCCTGAACGAGCGAAGGCAGCTGGGCTCACCAGCCTGCTCCAGAGCGTAGATCTCCAGCCCACTTTCCAGTAAGAGTGGGCTGTTTCTCACTCTGGGATTGCTAAAAGGGAGTGGGGCGTCTCCCTGGCCACAGGGCTTTCAGGCAGCTTCCTCAGAAGCAGAGGCCGCAGCATGACCACACTAATTCTGGCTGCGCACACAAGGATGGGAGGAAAAGGGAGGTCAGAGGTTTGTGGGGGAAAATGGTTTCCTCTCTTTCTTAGCTGAGATTATTTCCTCTCTGTGTGTCACCTTTCCTGCTCTATCTGCAGGCACCCAGCCCGCGTGGAAGCTGCACTTCCTGGAGACAGAGTAACTCTCTTTACATTTCCTCTCCGTGTGTCACCTTTCCTGCTCTATCTGCAGGCACCCAGCCCGCGTGGAAGCTGCACTTCCTGGAGACAGAGTAACTCTCCTTACAGTCAAAAAGGTTAGGATTTAGGGCTAGATAACATTCTCTGCTCCCACAGAGAAGCTCATCAGGCTGGATGTCTGGGTGAGGGCAGGAAAAGAGGTGGTTATGGGGGAAATGAAACACTGAGTATAAATACTTTGCAATAAAAAAGGAATTTCTTCTCCTCCAACAGACGACCACCTTCCCCCAGAATCTCCCTCTGGCTATTTCCTTCAGTGTCTTTAAATTTAGTGTTTGACCTGAAATTCATCTAGTCTAATCTTCAATATATAAACAGAAAAGTTACAGACACTGAGGCTATCAAGGGACACATATTAAGGTATGTTTTTCATCTTTCAAGGTGTTAATTTTAATTACTAAGGAAACACTGGAAGATGGTTCAGTCACTAAGTCAGACTCTAGAGAGACCACAGAGCTTAAAGAAAACAATGAAGTCAGGGCCCCATTAGGGTTTAAAATAGTCCCAGAAAAAGTGACCCAGCTAAGCCCAAGGTGGAAGCAAGCTTCCTGTGCTTTCAAGTCCAAGAGTGAGACAGCTAGCTTTTAACAGTGAGCCTCTCACCCCAAGACGAGGTAAGCCGTTACCAGTCTATGGTCATGCACTGGAGACTAGAAGCTGGCACGCAGTGGCAAACACAACATTCATGAGGCTGTGCAGGCATGGCACATGGCACCACAGTCATCAACTTGTGTGTGCAGAGAATCCCGAATCATGGGAGCTGGACAGGATCTTAGCCTAGTCTAGGAAACTGGGGCTCAGAGAAGTTAGCTGTGAACTCATAGCTAGGGGATGGGAGTGAAAAATAAAGTTATTTTCAGAATCTGCAATCCAAGAAAAGGAAAGACAACAGGGTATATGGATTAAGGTTTACGCCATTATTATAGGAAAAAGCCTCTGAAACTTAAAAACATTCTTTAAAAAAAGTTATAGAATTCCAATATATTTACCAAATAAGGCAGACCAGCCAGAATCTTGTGCATATTTATCTCCTCCCAACACAATGAATAAAATAAAAGGTGCCAGAACGGGCCCCTGTTGTTTTAGGAAAATGTACCTTTAAAAACTTATTTTAAAAAGCTATTTCGGATTAGAAAAAGAAGGCAGAAGAAGAGCTAAATGCATGGCTCACAGGGCAGCTCCACATATGAAGAGGGCACACTACCAAGTAGCTTCTGGTTCTTAGAGCCTGACTCAAGCTATAGAGTCACTCTCCCCATCTCAAAAATACCCAACCGATCCAGGCTCCTTGGTGATGACCACAGAGCAAAGCCCTGGTAGCCCTAGCAGTCCTGGCATGGGATTGGTAAACTCTAGCACACGTGGCACAGATGTACAAGCAGAGAAGAGAGGTAAGGCCACCCACCAATGTCTGCCTGGGGAAGCCCAGCAGCTGCGCTAGCTAAGGGCAGCTACACTTGGGCAGCAGGAAACGAGTGCGGGGTGTAGGGTCTGTGGGGGACCAGGACTTTCTTGGCTGAGGACCAGAATACTGGATGGGGCCAAGTAAGGCAACTGGAAAAAGGCCTCACTTGCTTGTGAAAGAGGTGAGAATTTCCCAGGTTTATTTTCATCTGCTGCGGGGGAGGAAAAGAAGAAAAATTCTTTACAGATGCTGTAATACTCAGACCCAGGTGTGTAACTACTGAACTAAAGACCTTGATATTTTGTCCAACTCATTACTGTTACATGTTGCCGGGTGAAAACAAAGGCACAGAGAGTGACAGCAGGAATGACATAATTTATCACCGGCTTTGAGTTGCACATGATGCTAACATGATTGTTACCTGGCAACAAGTGAAGAGTCACTTCCTTCTCTGTCACTTCTTTTTCATTTGTGTGAATTTCCTAAAAGAAAAGAGCAAAGGGTAATATTTTTATTTGTTTAAAGGCTCAAAATGAGTCACTCAAAGCCATGCTTTCGGAATACACGTGAGAACATACGCCCTCGGGAATTCTTTATGTGACAAGCTAATTACTATTTTTAAAAGTATTTGTTAACTAAAGGATGACAGAAAATTCCAACAAATTAGTTCAATGTATAAGCTAAGTATTGAGGACTGACAACTATTAGTTGTCCCAAGCGGAGGGATAGGGATGGGCACTCCCTAGCTAAAGGATCACATGTCACACAGCAAAGTCAGGCAGAGTCAGAAAGAGAATGGAAGACATCCCACATGCCTAAGGAATCAGAGCGTTCTGGTAATTTAGACGTTCTCATTGAGAGTTTTCATCATCTGTCACTGGCAAAGAACTACACTAAAGCACAATTATTTTTGACAGTTCTATCATCTTTCTCTGTGGAGAGAGCAAAGCTATTCATTAAATTCAACCAGCTGTTACAAAACTCTGGCAATCATCTTGAGTGCTTGGAATTCAGTTCAACACTAAAGCCAGCATGGAGAAGACTACCCTGTTGCTATGTCCACAGAAGTATCTATCATCTCCTGATGATAAAGAATTTACACTATCCAAAACTACCTATCTCAACTCTTGAAATGTTTAATGGAACTCTTTCTTTAGCAATCAGGAGACACCTTTTAGGATTCTGTCCTAACCAAAACTCCCTTTCCCCAGAGAACTCTCCCCATAGTGTCCTGAACCTCTTACTCCCCATCAGCTGCATTGGGAAACAGACAGCAGTCCCACAAAGGGCTAGTCATTTTATCTCCCCTATGGACTTGGCTGGAGGGCTAATAGAAGCTAATAAAGCTGGCTCTTAAACTACAGATTTGTTGATTTGGCCACACATATGGGGAAGCAGAGGGAGCTTTCCTGTAGAGAATAAGATATACAAGAGGTTATGTGGAGATAAAAGCCCAGTCACCAGAAACACAAGCAGTCATGGCATGGACTCCAAGGCTTTCCAGGCTTCAGTGAGGCCCAACTCACCTCTGCCCCACAGTTTCAAGAATCACACCTGAATCTTTATAATAAATCCCCTTGTTAGTGTAAGTTAGCTACAGTGGGTTTGTGCTGATTGCCACCAAGCTTATTATTTATTTATTTTTTATTGATTCCAGAGAGTAGAAGGGAGAGGGAGAGAGGGACAGGAACATCAATGAGATAAAAACATTGATCAGCTGTCTCCTGCATGCCTCCTTCTGGGGATTGAGCCTGCAACCCACGCAGGTTCCCTGACCGGGAATCAAACTGGTGACCTCCTGGTGCATGGATCCACGCTCAACCAACTGAGCCCCATCAGCCAGGAGTGGGTGGTAGTTCTAAAAAACATGGTCTCTAGTTTCCTACTACAAGAGAGAAAATAGTTGTAACATGTACTGCCTACAATAGAAAACCAGTCTCCTATTACAAAACTGATTAGAACAAATTTTTTAAATTCCCTTAAGAGAAATGTACTTCACTGTACATGGATTGGCCACATAAAGGACAAAGGCATGTGAAAGCTAAAGTCAGCTAACACTCCCAAGAATCTGCTGAGAGGCTGAAAAGCAGCCTGGTCATTTTCATTCCACTGGTTCTCAAGAAATAAATTCTCTCGTTTCTTACCAAGTTCACATTCAGGGTGCACATCTCAAAAGTCTGATGGACCTAGGGCACCTCAGGGAACGCAGGAATGGAAAGGACCTACCAGAAGCTCACTGACGGTAAGAAGAATGGGGGGATTCCTACAGTGAAGTTCTCGCAGGCCTAAATGCTTATAAATGTTCACGTCAAGCGTTCACTGCTACTAGCTCTGAGTCAAAAACTGAAGCTGATCTCAGTTCAACGTAATCCAGCCAGAGGAGCAGATTTAAGAAGCAACATCCCTAAAGCTTCCAAAACACAATTTCTTCTTTTTTTTTCAGTCCTCACATGAGAATTTTTTTTATTGATTTTTAGAGAGACAGGAAGGGGGGGAGAGAGGGGAAGAAAGAGAGAGAAACATCAACGTAAAAAAGAAACACCCATCAATTGCCTCCCGTACGTGCCCTAATTGGGTATCAAACCTGCAACCTTTTGGTGTACGGGACCATGGTGAGGTATTTTAAAAATACTCCAGCAAGACCCAGAGAAACACATGGGAAATTAAGATACATCACGGCGTGGGCATTAATATGGACGGCATCCCCAAATGCTCATATTGTGATACTGGAGAGAGTGTGCATTCCATTAAAGACTGTCACGTACATGGTGTTAATCCAGAAAGACTACAGTCGTGAAGCCTGTCCAGTAAAAACTGCAGAAGAGCAACAGCCGTGGACGGGCCTGGCATCATCCCAGGATCTTACAACCAATTCAACCAGTGTCCAGCGACAGCTGCCTCTGTCCTATCCTTGTTCTCTGGAGCACTGGGATCTTCTCAAACTGCCACCTGGTTTCAGTGAAGGGCCCAGAGTCCCCCCTAACCTTCCGTTCTTTCTATCTCACTATCTTTCAACTGTGACACTCCCGACCCAGCTGTCTAATCAGCAAATGGTGACAATCTTACTTCTAGAAGCTATGGAATGTAGAATAAATTTCTTATTGACCCCAAATAACTATCATGTTCAATGTGCAGGGGGGAAAAAAGAAAGGTAGGGTTCCTTAATAATCAGGCAGAACTGCTTATACTAGTTACACAGACGGACTTTTTTCTGAAGATGCCAGAAAACTAACTCATCTGAAAGTAATACAAATTTTCAAGAAATGTAGCCATTAAACATGGCCCACGTGCTTTGTGTGGCACCTCTTGCTGCTCCATCTGAGTTTCGACAAAGTTTGCTATTATGGCATAAAAGAACAGCAAAAACTACTGGCACTGGCCACAAAATGTCCAAGCTTTCAAAACTAGGATGTCCCAGTGGCCTGAATTCAGTTAGAACAGAAGCACGAACATAAAGTTTTGCCAGAGTGATAGGATTGGAGTTGGCTACTCCTCTTGTTTGTTTTAATTTAAAAAGAGGATAAGCCCTGACCAGGTAGCTCAGTTGGTTGTAGCATCGACCGATATGCCAGGGCTGTGGGTTCAATCCCTGGTCAGGGCACATACGAGAATCAATCAACGAATGCATGGATGGGTAGAGCAATAAGTCAATGTGTTTCTCTCTCTCTCTGAAATCAATAAATAAAAAAATTTAAAGATAAGGGCATGAATAACAAATCTTCCAGTTTCTACATGTTTCACCCCACAGATCAAAAGAAGCTCCATCTGTTCCTGCTCCCATTATGAATATAACAATTCCCAGGGCCCCACAGCTGCCACTGCCCCCACATTATCTAAGAACCTCGCCCAGGGCTGAGCCAGACAAAGTCTATGCCAGACAAGACGTGAGAAGGTCACCCATTCTTCAGCAAGTTTATGGCCAAAGGAGACACACCTACTGGAACCCGCCTCCTACAGCTGGCCCGGCATTACAAAGTTGTCGATCTGATCGCTCCTCTGAAATATGTTTCTGAGGAGTGGCCCAAAGCACAGGCTCTGATGAACCTGAGGAGTGAAACCAGCGAGTCAACACTCAACACTCAAGTTGTATGTCTGGTTACTCAAAGCTGCAAGATGACCCATCTCCAACAGAGAACAATTCATTTCAAGAAACAGCTCCCAGCCCAGCCGGGCATAGCTCAGTAGTTGAGCATCGACCTAGGATCCAGGAGATCGTGGTTCGATTCCCAATCAGGGCACATGCCCAGGTTGTGGGCTCAACCCCCAGTTGGGGGCCTGCTGGAGGCAGCAGATCAATGACTCTCTCATCATTGATGTTTCTATCTCTCTCTCCCTCTCCTTTCTTCTCTCTGAAATCAATAAAGATTTTTTTTTTAAATCTATTTAAAAAAAAAAGAAACAGCTCCCAAATGTCCTAAATATCAAATGCTGAGGATAAAAAGATGAATAAGAATTGACTTCTGCACTCAAGAAGTTCAGACAGACAAAAAATAATAACTGGAACACTGGGTAATCAGTGTAGTAACTATTAGAGCCTGCAAAAGAGGACATCTCTATTCATCTCATTTAATCCTCAAAACTTTGTTAACTGAAATCATTGTCTTCATTTTAGAGATGAGGAAAATGAAGCTGACCGAGGTTAAGTGAAGTGGAACCCAAGCCTCAGTTTACCTGAGCAGTCACGCTCTTCATTACAATACCACCTGCCTGTCCTTGCTGACCACATCTCCCCAGGGCACTGTCTCCTCCCCCCTGCCTTTCACACATTTCCATCTACGGGCCTGTCACTCCGTGTGCACCTGCTCTAATCCAGCACTGCAGACCCAGGAGTGAACACAGCACAGAGCTCCACCTTCCCAGAGTGCATGGGAGCGACCAGAGTACAAGCAATAATAAAGATGTGTGCAAAGTGCTGCGCTGGGGGAAGGACAGGCAATGATGGGATCACAGCAGAAACACCTAACTGCATTCAAAGAGGGGCAGGGAAGATTGCTACCCTCAGGAAGCGTCACTTATTCTGAGACTTGAAGATGAGCAGAAATGAGCTTCAGGCCAAATGACCAACACTCTCTCTGGCTGCTCTTCCTCAAGTCTTTCTGGTCAGGGTCTTCACCCCTCCTCAAAAGGCCTGTGGTCCCTGGATGAGCTCTCACATTCATATCATTGCCAACAATATATGCTGATGACTCCCCAAATGGTACTTCCCTCCAGAACCCTCTTCAGAGCTCTAGACCTGGACATCCAGCCTCCAGGCCACCTACACTGGAATGTCCCTCAAATCCTCCAAATTCACATTTCACAATCAGCTCATCACTTCCCCCCTGCACCTAACCAAACCAGTTCGCCCTCCTCTGGACTCTGGCTCAGTAGGCAGCCCCACCATCCACCCAACTAACCACACAAACACCCAGGTGTCATCCTAACTAGTCCCCGCTCTTCAAATTCTGTCTGCTCTGCTTTCTTAACAACTCAGAACCCG